AACTATTCAAGATTTTCTTAACTTTTTTTTTCGAAATACTTAATTATGCATTTGACTCTTATCTAAATGATTGAAAGTTTAGATAGTGTTGGGAAAAGTTTTGCATCATCGAATAAGAAACTACCAGGTCAGGTTAGATGCCGTGAGCTTTTCGATTGAGGACAAATACTTCTATTTTCGAATGTCTATGAAAAACAATTTTTTAGATGTGTTAGACATGTTAGGTGTACGTCAAGTTTCACTTGCTACCACCGGGGGACTATATTATCCACTCAACAGAAAAACAAGTGTAGTGACAATATGTGTAGGTTGAAGAAAGTTTTTCTTATAAATATAGTAAACTAACTACACAGAAAAGAAGAGAGAGGGTGAGAGACAAAGGTGAGATCATACACTAAAGAAGATAAGAACAAATGTTGGGCTTTCCAAGCCTATGTTCAACTCCCCCATTAATTAGTATGATATTATCCGTTTTGGGTCCAATTGGCAAAATCTGTACAGATTTCTTATTGGGCTCCTTCCCAAAAGGCCTCATACTAATTAGAGTTGGATATCTCTTATATATTAGACAATTTTTTTCTAAACTTTCGAGGTAGGATTTGGATTAATATCCCAACAATCCTCTCCCCTCAAACCAAAAACCACACAAGTCCATGGCCTTCTACCTCCAGCAAAACCTGGCACCCATCTTGTATCGCTTGTTCTTCACCTAACCTTTGGGACACCGTTAGGAATACCTTCGATACAAGGTCCGTGCACACTTATTCGCGAGGTCTCCTTTTTGGAATCTCTCATCCCATATCGAACACGTAGTCCAACCCACTTCTCCAGGTCCACCTTTTCTGAACCAGGCTCTGATATCATTTGTTGGGCTTTCCAAGCCCATGTCCAACTCTCCCATTAGTATTATATTGTCCGCTTTGGGCCCAATTGGCAAAGCCCGCACGGATTTGTTCTTGGACTGTTTTCCAAAAGGTCTCATACTAATTAGAGTTGGACATCTTTTATATGTTCGACAATTCTTGTCTAAACTTCCGATTTGGACTTTGGTTGATATCCCAACAATCTTCCCCTCAAACCAAGAACCACACAAACATGTGGTCTCCAACCTCTAGCGAATCCTTACACCCATCTTGCACCGCCGTAATCACCAACGAAACCTGCTGTGTAACCTTCCGCTTGTTAGTAAGACTTTCGACACAAGGCACCGGCACCCCTTAAACGTGAAGTCACCTTGACGGCTCTCCTCCCACAACGAACATGCAACCCACACCCACGTCTCCAAGTCCACCTTTTCTGAACCTAGGATCTGATACCAATTCTGGGGCTTTTCAAACCCATGTCAAACTCTCCCATTAGTATGATATTTTCCGCTTTGGACCCAGAGGCAAAGTCCGCACAAATTTATCTTTGGGCTCCTCCCAAAAGACCTTATACTAATTCGAGTTGGACATCTCTTATATATTAGACCATTCTTGTCTAAACTTCCGATGTGGGACTTGGATTGATATCCCAACAATCCTCCCCTCAAACCAAGAATCACACAACCTGTGGCCTCCAACCTCCAGCAAATTGGCACCCCTTAATCGCGAGGTCTTTTTTTGGAGTCTCTCATCCCATATCGAACACGTAGTCCAACCCACTTCTCTAGGTCCACCTTTTCTGAACCAGGCTCTGATACCATATGTTGGGCTTTCCAAGCCCATGTCCAACTCTCCCATTAGTATGATATCATCCGTTGTGGGCCCAATTGGCAAATCCGCACGGATTTGTTCTTGGACTCTTTTCTAAAAGGCCTCATACTAATTAGAATTGGACATATTAGACAATTCTTGTCTAAACTTCTGATGTGGGACTTGGGTTGATATCCCAACAACAAGACATAAAAGCCTCTCGCCAAAGTCCCTGGAGGAGGAAAACTTCATAGAGCGAGTTCTTGCTCCACTCTCCATGACTACGGAGGCAAATTTGCTAATTCTCTAATAAAGAGATATTCCGGAGTTTTTTTTTGTAGTTTACTTGATATATAAATTTCTATTATAGTTGAGTTTCTTGTCTTTTTGATACAATGGTATTGTTAGTATCAAGTATATTTTCTGTAATGTGAAAAATATAGAATTTTTCAAGTTTATTTTCTTCTCTAATATAAGTTAAGACTTCCTGAGATCTATTATCGGTTAGTGACTGTGGAGGATTATTTGTTAAATTCCCTAAATACGTGATTTATGGAAGTGTTATGGGGTTTTGAAAAATGGGTTTCTTAATATGAAAAATTCCCTTCTACGGTTAAGTTTTTTTGTCTTCTTTGAATTGATGTCTTGAAGCTAAATCTTTCATTTTCATGGCGTTTGTATATATTACATTTTA